AGATAAGCCTTCTATAGAATGACTACCCAAGAACAAACATGCTTGAGAAACATGCTTATAACAAGGGCCTAGAAATACTTGTCCTGCCATTGTTCTGTGACCATCCTGTAATGAATGCTTGCAATGATGAACCTTCATGAACCATACAATCCCACCTAGGTGCTATCCTAGGACCGCCAGTGATAGAGTGGGTCACGCATTGGGCTGCTAACCATAAGGCAAGCAGTTTGAAACCACCAGCCACTCTAAGGGAGAAAGATGAGGCTTTCTACTACCATAAAGAGGTTGGGTCTTGGAGACCCACCGGGCAGTTCTACTCACTCTCTGCTATCCCCCCTCAACTCCCCTTGGCCCTTAGCCAGTCATAATTTCAGCTTTTGTTCCTGCCTCGACTCTGTAATAACTTTGGCTTCACGTGCTGGCCTCTTGCTTGTCTGATGGAACAGGAATCTTCACTGTGTGCATTTGGATGTCTTGCCCAGTGTGGACCGCCTCGAACTTTCAATAAATCTCCTCGTTTGACTTGTACAGGCTATGAATCTTCACTCTAGGACCCGTGAAATACGTGAAAATTCATAATAGAATCTGCATCCTTACAGAACCACATATAAATAATGCATCGCGGATGAGAATCCAATCTGTTTTCGGTGACATCAGCTCCTGTAAGTTTGGTAGCCCATTTTGGTGTAAGAGTTTTACTGGCAGGTGTGAGAAAGTGAGATGCTACCATCGGAAGGATTGGCAATAGCAGTTGAAAATGATCAGCAGACCCTAAGCATACAAAATATTTTTGTTCTTTTCTTTCAAAAAAAAAAAATTCTGAATAGACAGGTCATGCCACATGTAGCACTCTCTGCCATGGTCCTGGTGAGACACTTTCTGCCATGGTCCTGGTGAAACTTTATTTCCGAAGTAAAAGTAGCTGTCTAGTCGATTTGGCCTCATGGCAGCCCCGTGTGTCCATGCTCCTGGACTGAATTAGAGCCGGGACAGAATCCAGTCTTTTCACGTGTGGCCGTGCTCTAGGAAACACAGTGGCATAATTCTCATCTGCCGTGTGCTGACAGCCCACAAAGAGGGGAGGCAAGAAGGAGGCCGTTCCCAGGGCCCGCTCCCCGACAGAGATGTCACTAAAATAAACTGGAGCTGGCAGAACCGACACTGTCCGAACTCTGGAAACCCGTCAAAAGGTCACGACAACTACATTACGGGGGAATAAAGTGATTTCCAAATGGCCGAGATGCTTCTGTGCCCCACTTGCTCACATCCCCCCTCCTCATCAGCTCGGCCAGCATGCTCATTGCCGGTGCCTGTTTCCAGAGACGGATTCTGGTCTCTGGATTCAGAGGGGCCAAAAAGACTTTATTCACAAGTGACAGAGGATGCTTCCTTGTCCCTCGCCCATAACCGTAACTGCCAGTAGCTGCCTGGGGTTACAAAGAAATGGAGGGATATGGGGAAAAAAAACATTAGGATGAGGAGTTAGGCTCAGGGGAGAGTTCTCTGAGATGTTGATCCAGACTCACGGGGACCCCAGCCGAACAGAATGGCTCTAGAAGATGGCCAAGACTGTGACCTTGCAGAAGCCCATCTCCAGGCTTGTCTTGAAGGAGCTCATCTATTTTCTTCTTCTCTAGCTATGTGCCTCTAAAGACAAATTTCTAGCCAGTAGTTGAGCACTTCACCATTTTCACGACTCAGGGGCTCCTTGGGGAAATGACCCCAAACCCACTGCCGTCAAGTGGATCCTGAGTCATAGCAACGGCAGAGGACAGAGGAGAACGGCTCACTAGGATTTCGGGGACCGGGAGCAGACAGCTTCATTGTTCTCCCAGGGAGTGGCTGGTGGGTTGGAGCGAATTGCTTGGCTTGCAATTAGCAGTCACTTAACTCACTGCGCCACTAGGGCTACTTCTTGGGAAATCAGGGCTGTCTACGGTCCCTATATCTTGAGAGTTGAGAAAGCGCACTTATGCCCAGGGCAAGATGCACATTCAGAAAATACCCGAGAAGACCCCATTCATTTTCCGGACTGAGTTAGCCTACCCTAGCTGAGCTACACAGCTAAAGAGCAAACACTTCAGCAACCAAACTTCAATGTTTCCAGGAAAGCAATATTGGTAAAAACAGAAGTTGCAAAACACATGGACAATTACAGCCTTAACCGATTTTTAAAAATAGCAGTAACACAACAGTAAGTCCAGGAAGGGAGAAGAAAGAAAACCTTCATCGAGTTGTCCAGAGAGGTAAAATGGTGCAGCCACAGTGGAAAACAATGGGGCAGCACCCTCCCCAAATTTCATACAGAACTACATTTACACAGTTCCCCCCAGCCAACTTAAATATAGAATTATATTGACCTAGCAATTCCGCTCCCAGAGCACACTCAGACAATTGAAAGGAAGGGCGCAAACAGCTATTTGTATATCAATGTTCATTCCGGTACAGTAATATTCACAATAGCCCCCAAAGCAGGAATAACCCAAATTTTCATTTGGGTAAGCAAATGGGGCTTATTTATTTATTAGCTATAAAGCAAAATGAAGTCCTGATACATGCTACAACATGGGTGGACCCTGGAAAACATCTGGTTAAATGCAATTAAGTCAAGCAACACACCACCACCACCACCACATTTCCTATGATGTCATAGATTTGAAATAGATAGGCACATGCGTAGACACAAAAGTAGGCTGGTGGGTACTAAGGAGTGGTGTGCAGGGAGTGGTGGGGAGCTATCGCTTAATGGGTGCTGAGTTTCTGTTGGGGATGATAAACAAGTTTTGGAAATAGATGGTTGTGATGATTGTATAGCATTGTGAATGAAATTAACACCCTTGAGTTGTATTCTTAAAAATGGTTAAAATGGCAGATTTGTTTTGCTGGGTTTTTGTTTGCACTTTTAGTTTTTATTTTCTTTGATTTTTGTACTTTTGTTCTATTATATGATAATTAAAAAAACTTATTGGGGGATTTTACAGCTCTTACAACATTCCATCCATCAATTGTATCAAGCACATTTGTACATATGCTTGTACATAATATTTGTACAGATGCCATCATTTCCAAAGCATTTTATACTTGAGCCCTTGCTATAAGCCTCTCTTTATTCCCCTCCTTCCCCCACCCTCCCACCCTTGATCAATTATATATTGTTATTATTATTTCTTATCTTACATTGTCTTCCTTCACCTACATTTCTGTTATTTGGCCCCTTGGGGGGGGGCGGCGGGGTGTGTGTCTATATATCCAACCTTGTAATGGGGTCCCCTTTCTCCCCTTTCCCCATCCCCAAACATCCCCCTCCCCTCACGATATCATGATATTGCTACTCCCATTACTGTTCCTGATGGGTTTATCTCTCCTGAGTTCCATGTGTTGAGAACTCTTATCTGTTCCGATGTGTGTTCTCTGGCCTAGCCAGATTTGTAAGGTAGGACTGGGTCATGGTAGTGGGGGCGGGTAGTGGGGTTGTGGAAGTAAAATGGCAAATTTCATTATATCTATTTTATCAAATTTCTTGTTCAAAAAGTGGATGCTTACTGCAGGGATGATAGAAAAGGAATGCATTTATTTGTCTTAGGTTTCTATTGCAGTTTTATATTTACAGTAAAAACAATTCCAGGATCAAGGCATAACCTAAGGATAATATCAAGATAGTCTGTGCCCTTGCAGATGTATTCTCCACCTTTCCCACATTTCTCCCCGTCTCCAAAGGATTATCTGTATGGACCACATAAATCAACTGCACAGCATTCAACACCCATGTGAGAAGAGGCTCCAATAGACAGTAAGGGCAGGATGGAAGCTTTCATCCCATGGGGACCAAACCTAAACCCACTGCCATTGAGTCAATGCCAACTCATAGCAACCCTGTGGGACACGACAGAACTGCCCCTGGATCTATTTCTGGATGTGCTACCCTGTCCAAGAGCTCTCCTTTTTCATTAATACCACAGTTTTGATTACTGTAGCTTTACAGTGAGTCTTGAAATTAGCTAGTGTATGTGCTGTTTCTGACAGGTTACGAACTGGAATTTTTGCATATTAGGCCAACGGGGCACCTCTGCCCTACAGAAAAATAGGGTTGCTGTGAACCCAAACGATTCGAAAACCCCTAACCACAGCTGCACTCCATTTCTGTTCTTCAATTGCGCTGGTTATTATGAATCTTTTGTCTTTCTGCATGAATCTTGGAATCCATTTGTTCGTTGTACAAAATAACTTACTGACATTTTGTAGGATTTGCATCAAATCGGTACATTGGTGGGAGACTAAACAATACTGAGACTTTGCAAAGTCCAGTAACAGGCCTACCCGAGCTTGTTGTGGCTAGCTCCTCTTGCTCTCTCACTGCGGCCTTTGCAGGAGTGCTTCACTCGGCCCTTGCTCCTCGACTTCCCTGCGTAACTTCAATATGCCCATTATGGGGTCGCCAAGAGTCGGAACAGACTAGACTTCAACAAATTCACTATCTGGTTAGTGTACTCCTTCTTAGCACTCTCCACACTTTTAATGTTACGTTTGTGTGGTTCTAGCGGGAGAAAGACGAGGCTGTCTAATCCGGCAGAGTTACTGTCTCGGAAACCCCCACACAACCCAACGAGACACTGCAAGGTCCTGCGCCATCCTCACCATTGCTCCTGTTTTCAGTTCCTCTTAACGCAGTCTTTGCGTGAACCCTAGGTAAGAGTAGACGTTTCTGGAATAAGTGAATAGCGGAGACAGCAGTTCGAAACCTGACGCGGAGAGAGATTTAGTTCCGCAAATTCTCCAGAACGTCGTGTAAAGCTACAGGTTTATGCCCCGACGTTTTGTTCCGAAAACTCCAAGAGAGGGCACCACGAGAACGCAGGTGATGCTGACCTCCCAAGTCTCGGGGCGAGCTCTCGCGAGCGCCTGCGTACTGGACTCTCCGGATCTACGCAAGCGCGTGGGGGCGGGGCCTGGTAACCCAGGCAACGTACCGGAAGTACCTTGCTGCTTCAGTCTGTGGCGGGCCTGGCGCTTCGGAGCCAGCGCTTCCCGCCTCTGTGGAGACAGCCGCTGGGAAGCTGCAAGGCAGGTTGCGCTGCCGGGGTGGGAGCTACGGGTCCTCAGGGTCCGGGGATGTGGGGTGCAGGAGTCGGTAGGGGAGTCTCCCTCTTGTCCCCAGGAGACGCAGTCGCCTGCTGGAGGGTCCGAGCTACGGGAAGCGCGGGCCCGTGGGGTTTGCGTGTGTGCGTGTGTGCGGGTGCCCGTCTGGGGGAGGGTGGGTCCCGCGCCCACCTGGGAGCCCTGCGAAGGCGCACTGCCTGCGGGCCCTCTGCGCCGAGCGACGAGGCGAGCGTGCAAAGATATCCAAAATAGAACTGTGGTTCAACTGAACTCCAATCCGTTGTCAACGCCTTTCCCTACCCGGGACCGTCTATTTTTTGGGTGGAGGTGAGAGGGGACTAACTGCGCAGGTCACACTTTTAATGTCGACTGCTGTACTTGTTTAATTCGATGGACGCAGTCCCACGAAGGCACGGGCTCCTTCTACTTTCTTGCTCTGTCCAGTGCCTACCTCTGACCTTCCCAAATATTAACTTGACTGGAGGTGAATGAATAGATGGATGATCAAGTGAATGCATTGAGTGGAAGGGAAACTAATGAGAAGAATTGCAGGTGGAACAAAAACATACCTAGTTGAGATGGAGGAGAGGGAACAGAAGGGGAAGGTATTTTAGGGAAATGATGAATAGCTTCTGCTATCTCATTGGCTAAGAGTCAAGAAGGAACAGAAGTTGATAATGTTTAAACCAGACTATCTAGAACAGTGGTCCTCAACCTTCCTAATGCCATGACCCTTTCATACAGTTCCTCATGTTGTGGTGACCCCCCAACCATACATTTATTTTTGTTGCTACTTCATAACTGTAATTTTGCTACTGTTATGAATTGGGCGACCCCTGTGAAAGGGTCTTTTGACCCCCAAAAGGGTCGTGACCCACAGGTTGAGAACCACTGATATAGAAGGATGGTAATGCTGACCCCAAACTCACAGCCATGGAGTCGATGCCAGCTGAGCAAGCCCGTTTATTCAGAGATAGGAATTGGGTGTGGGCATGGATATTGGACTGTATTTAGGAAGTGTACACAGTAGGTAGTTAGAAATGAGTGTTTAGTACCTTGAGGAAAGGTGTAAATCATGGAATTGGGACTCATTTTCACGGTGTATTTTTTGGGGCCAAATTCATTCATTGCTTGGCTCTCAGGAGTAGGATGAGATCACTAACGCAGGATGTCAGCCGTCCTTGGTGATCTGGAAAGTTAGCTCCAGGAAAACTGGGACTAGTTTAGACTTGTTAGATTGTATTCCAGTGCCCAACTAGTGTCCCGACACGTGGTAAGAGGTTGCAAACAATTGTTGGATAAGGGGACAGGGTGTTCAGTGGAAAGACTGAATGTCTAGGGATAGAACTGGGTGAAGATTCTTGATTAAGTGGTATCAGAGGCGGGCCCAGTAGGCACCTAAGCAGAAAAGGGGGAAAGAAAAGCTACTAGGAAGCAATTAATATTTTGAATTTTCTTTAATGAAATACGGATTTTATGGGTTGTTCTAATCTTATTATTTTGTCTCTGCAACACTGCAGACATCAGAATATCTCCTCAGTCCCATAGTTCAACATGAAAACTACAGCTCTCCTAAGACCTTTGGCTTTATCTGTGACAACACTTATTTGTTAGATCACAAAGACTGATTCTTGAAGGTCGAATCGTCATCCTACTACTCATGCCTCTATCAATTTCTATGCGAATCTGAGGAAACAAAACAAAACAAGCCATCTTTTGTTTGGGCTTATTGTATTTACCATCGGAAGTCACCTTGCCTTTACAAACAGCCTAATAGATTCTTTTCCTAAATTTCTGCTTTTGTTAGAGTTGGGGACCTCACTTCTGAAATAAAAAGAACATGAGCTTGTTGTCAACTGTTTTTGACTATTCATAAGCCTTTGCATGCTAAATATTCATGACTAGGTTTTCACAATTGAGGCTGATGGAATTTCAGCCTCTGAATAGGTATATGCTAGTTTAAAAATTACAACTTGAAATAAAATATTTTCTAAATTCAAGGATAACATGGATTCATTGCAGAAAGATTAGAAAATGTAGACCCAATTAGAGAGAACTCAGTTCTAGCAATGTTTTTTAGCATGTAGCATGAGTTTAACAATCAGAGTGCCAGATAGCTGTGACCTAGATTTAATCTCTCTAAGTTCCATTCTGCTCATTAGGGGAAGGGAGCTAATAATTGTTTTTATGGTCATCAGTACCATTAGTTCCAAAATAGGATTTAGCATGTGCTAGACAAGGGTCTCAAGCACCTTGCATATTTTATTAGCTTTACTTCACAGTTGGCAAAGCTGGGATGTGCATGAAGACAGTTTGGTGTCAGACTCTGTACTCTTAACCACTACGCCTCAAGTGTTTCTGAGGTAAAATGTGAAGCACTTAGTACAAAATACGTGCTTGTTTTACTAATTATGTATGTGTGTGTGTACGTACATGCATACTCGTATGTGTATATGTACAAATATATATATGTAGTTTTATATATATCAAGGGAGACTTCAAAATTACATGGAAGAATTTTATCATCTTTTAATTCCATTTCTCAGTGAACATTTTGAAGCCCCCATATATCTATATAGAGACACACACACACACACACACACACACACACACACACACACACACACACGGTGGTACAGTGGTTAAGAGCTCAGCTATTAATCACAAGGTGGCTGGTTTGAACCCACCAGCTACTCTGGGGAATAATCTGTGGCAGACTGCTTCTGTAAAGATGTATAGTTTAGAAACTCTGTGGGGCTATAGTACTGTCCTGTGTGTCGAACAACCTGATGGCAATGGGTTTTTGTGTGTGTATGTGTGTACATGTATATACACGTGGGTAAATCAAAAAAATATCGCTATGTCAAGAAATCAGATGATGCATTGGGCAAATCGGATGCAAAAGACTTCTTCAAAGTACGAAAAAGCAAAGATGACACACTGAAGACAAAGGTACGCCTGAGCAAACCATGGTGTTGTCATTCTCATGCGTGTGAAAGCTGGGCCATGAATACAGGAGGCTGCAGAAGAGTGCATGCCTTTGGATGATGGCGTTGGAGAAGGCTGAATGACAGAGTGTCAGAAGAACAGACACATCTGTCGTGGAAGAACAGCCTAAGAAGAAGCCAGATGCAAACCCTAGATGTGCTCTCAAGACTTTGGAGAAGGACATTGTGCCGGGTAAAGTAGAGGGTCAGTGAAAATGAGAAAGACCCTCACGGAGGTGGATTGACACAGTGGTTGCAGCAATGGGCTCAAACATAGGGACATTTATAAGGATGGTGCAGGACCGGCAGTTTTATTTTATTGAAATATGGTTGCTGTGAGTTGGTACTGACTCAACGGTACCTCGCTAACAACAATAGGAGCAACTGTTTCCTCAGCTAACAAAGAAATCTTGGATGCAGAAATATCTGAAGACTTCAATCTGACATTTACTGTAATTTGTTGACCCCAGGATCGTATCCCTTTTCTTCTTTCATGATCAAATATGTCAATTCCTATGACTTTCTTCCACTCCCATCCTTGCTGTTATCTGTAATACGTTAGCAAATGGCAGAATCATTCTATTTCTTCAAAAGAAAATGTCTCTTCTGGGACTTTGCAAAGGTTGGAAAGGAAAAAGAAAACTACCATTGTTAATCATGTATGTCCTCATTGAGCTGTCTGCATGTTGGTGGTGTAGATTTGAAGTAGTAACAAGAAAGGGATGTACATGGATAACCCTGTCTGTCTATGCAAAAGATATTCATAGTTTAATACCCCAGAATTTGAAATCAGACTGCCAGTATTTGAATCCAGGCTTTAGCATTACTGAATCAGCTTGCTACTCTGAAATATGGCAATAAAAATAGACCTGCTCCTTAAGATTACAGTGTGGAGTCAATGAATTCATACACGTAAAAACACCTGGGAGTTTGTATGCAATCCTTTTAGCTAAACTATCAAATACATTTTTAAAATGCGAATGAATGATTATAGCCAAAAGAAAATCTTAGAAACCTTTGTTAAACCAAAATATCAAGATGTGAAGATACTGTTTCTGGACAGCTAGGTCTATAGACTTATCTCCCTAACCTGTACTGGAAGCATCCTGTGTTCTTCAACCACGGTCAGAAATGGCAGTTTTAGAATCCTCAAGGGACTCAAATCATGTTCCCTTTAATAGCTCTCTGAATTTCAGGGGGAAAAAGAAGTCTGAAAGAACCAGACCAGGACTGCAGTGTGGATGGGGTAAGGATTCCCAATGAAAATCATAGCGGTTAGCCCTTGCTAACGCTAAGACCGAGTAAGTGCATTGTTGTGATGGTAAAAAAAAAAAAATTCCTTGGCACAAGGAATTCCCTGGTCTTTTTCTTACCATTGCAGTTTTCCATTTTCTCAAAACTTCTTCATAGTAAATTTCTCTAATTGTCCTATGTTCTCTGGGGAAAAAACCCCAACCCTATCAAGAGTACCCCTTTGGGATCCTAAGAAGCAGGCATCATAACCGTGTGAGCTGACGGTTTACCTGCTTTAACTCGCCTGCAGAACTCCTGGGAAGCCACTGTTTAGATTGGACCGTTTTCCCCTGAAAGTACCTAATGAGACTGCAAGTGTTAGGGACAGAACTCGGCCATCGCTGATGGCACAGACATGTTTAAACAGGTTTTGTCTGGAATAAATTTGTACATATATGAATGGGAACCATTGTAACTGTACTTTGGGACTTACTCTTGTATATGTGTTGCTTTTTGTAGTCTTGTATGTGTGTGTGCATAAATATGTATCATCAAGCCATAGTGGTCAGGTGCTTGAAGCTTTTTTTCTAATTTTGTATGTTTAGTTCCGTGTTCTTAGCATTATGGCTATTGTAATAGTGTGAAGCAAATGCTGGCAATTTACAAATTCTAGTTGTAAAATTAGTAATCATCTGTTTATTTCCATGTATGAGAAATGGTGCTCTATCTCATTAATTTCTAAAATTTAGCTATCATTATCTTATGGTAAGTGCATTTGTACCTGGTAGTGATTCAGTGTTTAAAACAGAACTCAAAAAAAAAAAAAAAAAATAGAACTCCATGTCTCTTTTGCCATCTCCCCGCTGCTGTGTATTCATTTTGCTACCACGTGGATGTTGGTTTTCCTATGGATTTGTATACTCGATGGTAAACTTATGACTACTGTTCTTGACTCGATTTTAGGGTATAATGTCTATATTCCTTGAGCTCTCTAGTAAGCAGATATTTAAGTTAATAACTCTACCATAGTTAATCAATGGCAAAGTAAGAGAATTAAGTATTTTGGTATTCTGTTCCTTTTGCAATACCTACATTTTTCTAATGGCACGCTAAGATTTGTTTCGTATTTCCTAGATGTCTTTTACCCCCCTCGGTGATGCTTAATCATTAATATGGTTATTACTTGTAGATGTCATTTATCCGAGTGAACCGCTACTGTCCCCGGGGAGGGGGAAGAAAAGTACTGAAAGTAAAGAAGAAGAACCCTTCAGTGAAGCAAGAATGGGATGTAAGTCTAAGTGGGGTAATACAACACCTTGACACAATCCTGGAGCAGTCGATTCTGGTAGCATGGCCCCGGCACGCGGACAGTGCTCTGAGCTCTGCTCAGCCTGTCATGGGGCAGAAAGGGTTTCCAGGCACCGGGATAAGTTAGACTGTGGAGGGATTTTGAATACACACATCCAGTCATTACACTACTTCCTCTGAAGAATTGGAATCTTAAGTGGTAGGCACTGTGCCTTGAAAAAAAATCCCCATCTCAGATTTAACTGAGAACCTTCTGTTTTGGGTCCACTTTAGCTAACCTGTGTTGCTATTTGGGTCCACGTTAGCTAACCTGTGTTGCTATTTGGGTCCACGTTAGCTAACCTGTGTTGCTATTTGGGTCCACGTTAGCTAACCTGTGTTACTTTTTGGGTCCACTTTAGCTAACCTGTGCTGCTATTTGGGTCCACTTTAGCTAACCTATCTGCTATTTGGGTCCACTTTAGCTAGCCTGTGTTATTGAAATCTGAAATTTTCAGATTGTTATGTAGGTTTGCATAACAATCCATGATACTGAATTAATGTGCGTGGCATTTTGGCTGAAAAGAAATGGGTGATCCTTGCTTTCTTACCTCCTGGGGGTCTTGATCACATCCAAAGGCTGATCAAATTCAGTACAAAGGTTCTTAAGCTACCACCCATGTCTGAAATGCCTTTGGACTACAGTCTCTGACTCCTGCTTTGATTCCCCATGATATTTCATCTTTCTCTGCATGGCACTTTGGTTTCGGCTTACTCTCTGTGTGCAGATTAAGAGTCAGGAACTTGTTTGAGTCTCAGAGGTTCTTTTGCACTTGGCTCCTTCTCCATTGTGGCCAGCCACGTTAGCCAGAGATCCTCGACAAACTGGGTGAGTGTGACTTCTCTGTGCTTAGATTAACTGGCTATACAATATAAGGGTGTGACTCTAAGGAAATGATTTATTCAAAGTCGGGGCATAAATATTGTCCCTTCACCGTGGTCCCTCTGGAAGGTTCACTCTTTTTCTGATACGTTGTCAGTGTTCAAAATAGAATGGGAACTAATCATTTGAAACTGCATTCACAGCCTTCCTCGTTTACCTTGTTTTCTCGGGTGTTAAGTATGGTGGGGGTGTACGTAGGGCAGGCAGATCTTTGTTTTCTGAAGGTTGACTGACCTTGGGAAATAGGAGTGAAGTCTGGTGAGTGATGAACGAACAGCCAAGCAGAATAATACTATATTGATAGAAGATATTTTCTTGGATGGCTTTTAAATCAGATGTAAAGGAAATTCTATAGAAAATAGTTGTAAGCAGTATTAATGGAATTAAATCTTTACCTGTAGGAACAAATTCTGAGCACCTTACTTATTTGTATGTCTAGGTTTTATTATAGTCATTATTAAAAACAATTGTCATCACCTTATACTTCTACCATGCCCGTTTTTATTTATTTTTTTATCATTTTATTGGGGGCTCAGAACTCTTATCACAATCCATACATACATCCATTGTGTCAAGCACATTTGTGCATTTGTTGCCATCATCATTCTCAAAACATTTGCTTTCTGCTTGAGACCTTGGTATCAGCTCCTCATTTTTCCCCTCCCTCCCTGTTCCCCCCTCCCTCGTGAACCTTTGATAATTCATAAATTACTATTACTTTATCATATCTTACACTGTCCGATGTCTCCCTTCACCTACTTTTCTGTTCTCCATCCCCCCAGGGAGGAGGTTATATGTAGATCCTTGTAATCAGTTCCCCCTTTCCATCCCACCCTCCTTCCACTCTCCGGGATTATCACTCTCAGCACTGGTCCTGAAGGGATCATCCGTCCTGGATTCCCTGTGTTCCCAGTTCCTATTTGTACCAGTGTACATCCTCTGGTCCAGCCAGATTTGTAAGGTAGAATTGGGATCATGATAGTGGGGTGGGAGGAAGCATTTAGGAACTAGAGGAAAGTTGTATGTTTCCTTGTTGCTACACTGCACCCTGACTGGTTCGTCTCCTCCCCACCACCCTTCTGTAAGGGGATGTCCAGTTGCCTACAGATGGGTCTTGGGTCCCCAATCTGCACCCCTCCTCTTTCACAATGATTTTTTTTGTTCTTTGATACCTGATACTGATCCCTTCGACACCTCATGATCACACAGGCTGGTGTGCTTCTTTCATGTGGGTTTTGCTGCTTCTAGGCTAGATGGCCGCTTGTTTACCTTCAAGCCTTTAAGACCCCAGATGCCATAGCTTTTGATAACCAGGCACCATCAGCTTTCTTCACCACTTTTGCTTATGCACCCATTTGTCTTCAGCATTCGTCTCGGGGAGATGAGCATACAATGACATGATTTTTTGTTGTTTGCTGCCTGATACCTGGTCGCTTCAACATCTCATGATCACACAGGCTGGTGTGCTTCTTCCATGTGGGCCTTTTTGCTTCTGAGCTAGATAGCCTCTTGTTTACCTTCAAGTCTTTAAGACCCTAGATGCTATATCCTTTGATAGCCGGGCACCATCAGCTTTCTTCACCATATTTGCTTATGCACCCGCTTTGTCTTCAGCGATCGTATAGGGAATGTGAGCATCATAGAATGCCAGTTTAATAGAACAAAGTATTCTTCCATTGAGGGAGTACTTGAGTGGAGGCCCAATGTCCATCTGCTACCTCAATACTAAGCCTATAAATAGATACACAGATCTATTTCCCCATCATCATATATAAATATATTTGCATATGTACATGCCTTTATTTAGACCTCTATAAATGACCTTTGCCTCCTAGTTCTTTCCTCTATTTTCTTTTACTTTCCTCTTGTCCCACTATCATGCTCAGCCTTCATTTGGGTTTCAGTAATTACACTCAGTTACATTGCCCTTGATCATGCTCTACCAGGCCTTCTACACCCTCCTCATCACTGATTTGGATCACTTGTCCCCTTGTCCCTGGGTTTGTTAACACCACTTCCTTTCCCCCACTTCCCCCTCTCCTGTGTCCCCTGGAATAATCAGCCCTGTTGATTTCTCCTCCAGATTGTTCATGCAGCCTATCTTATTTAGACAGACCTACAGAGGTAATAACATGCACAAAAACAAGACAGCAAAACAAAGCAACAAAAGAAAACAAAACAACAACAAAAAGCCAATGACAAACAACAAAAAAGAGAAGCGTGTAGTTAGTTCAAGGACTGTTTGTTGGCCTTTAAGAGTGTTTTCCAGTCCAGTCTGATAGGGTGCCATGCCCTGGCCCCAAAGTCTGTTTTTGGTATTCCCTGGGGACTTCATTGCTCTGTTCCCCTTGCTGTTCTGTTGCACGCCCTCAGTGTTTTTGCCTTGGTGTGGTGGGATCAGATCAGGCATAATTCCCACACTGTGTCTCCAGTGTTGTCCTTTGTAGGACTGTGGGTCAGTGAGGGATGCCGTGTCTCATAGTGGGGCCGGCCATATGGTCTTCTCTGTGCACTGGCTGTTCTGAGCGGGAATATCGTCCTCCAGGCTTGGTGGGCCAGGGTATGTTCCACTCTCTCTTCCTCCCTCTTCATTTGTTTCCATGTGTTCTGATCAGACATGTCCCTTTCCCTGAGCTGCAGCTTCAGTGCTATCCTCTGAAATAAATTCTTCTTGGGGGAGGGCCATGCCCATTTTTAAATAAATGTAAGAAGAATAACTAGTTTGTTTATGTTTGACCTCCCATAATGCCCTTTATTTAAAAAATTAATTTTTAACCAGTTTTATTGGCACATAATCCTCATCATACAACTCAATTGTTTAGTTCTATCAAGAAGAGTTGTACAGTCATTACCACAATCAATTTATAGAACATTTTTCTCTTTTCTTGTACTCCTTGTTATTAGCTCCCCTGCCATACCTCCAAGACACTATTAATCTAGTTACTGTCTATAGATTTACCTATCCTTGATTTCATATGCTGTAAAACTTACAAAAACAAACAAGCAAACAAAACTAAGAACAATAACTAAATAAAATAGAGAAAAACCACAATAGAAAAGAAAGAAAACCTTAAAAACTTTAGACAACTTTAAAATGTGTCAAAAAGATCATATAAGGCATTAAATTTTAACCTAACTACCTCTGCCATTATCCACTTTCCAACACAGTCTGCATGATAGCAAGGCTAAGAATGAACTTTTTTAGGCTTGAGCTAGATAAAACCTACAACCAACGTCTTTGGTCTTTAATACATCAGAAGCTATTTCACTAGGCTCAGTTTCCTCGTATTTGTCACCACTTAGACATAAAACTCCGTCCCGCTTCCCCACCTTATCTTCCTGATGTGGGTAGCAAACTGAAGTCATTTTGGAAAGGACCTAGTTGCAGGGCCACTGCATCGAGCAGTGTAAGCTGTGCACAGCACAGTTCCAGTCGGCCAAGATGGCAGTGGCATCTCCTGCAGTTGTGAAATGTGGTGGCCTTGCCATGTTGGCCAGGTGCCTTCTGACCCAGGATACGATGCCCTGGAACCTTATCTGTCATTATTCTGGCTTGTACACATCCGACGCCCACTGTGGACCATGGAGTCCCTGGGTAGTAAAAATGGTTAGAACTTTGGGCTGCTAACTAAAAGGCTGGGGGTTTGAGTCCACCCAGAGGTAACTCAGAACTAACTTCTGATGATCTACTTCCAAATAATTCAACACTGAAAACCCACACAAGGTGTCACCATGAATTGGGACAGATTCAGTGGAAATTGAGTGTGCATTATACGGACATGCTTTATAACATTTAGAGTTACCTCGTGGAATTATGGAATTCCACGGAATACAGTTTGAAAGCTAAAGCTTCCGTTAAACTTACTTATTTTGAGTTATAATAATCTTACCTTGTTCTATTCATTGCTTTAATATGTACCTGATTGGTGGCTCTGTGCTCATTTTCTGTAAGACACCTAAAAGTAGTCTGTTATTTCCTATTTTCTGTATGACACTTAAAAGTAATTTGTTACTATTTAAATTGAGAATACTGGTTCCTGGAGAGAAGGACTCTTTGCTTTCAGAAATTTGAATCACTGCTTAGCTATGTAGGAGGCCTGGTTGTGTAGTGGGTTAAATGCTAGGCTAACGGAGAGGTTGGGCCTCAAACACACCAACCACTTGCACCACAGAAGAAAGATGTGGCGATCTCCTTGTGCAAAGTGTAAGCCTTTGGAAATCAGGGGAGCAGTTCTACTCTGTTCTGTAGAATCGGTATGAGGTGGAGTCAGTTTGATGGTTGTGCTTCCCATCCATTAAAATGCAGTGCATGCTGATCTTTTATTAGGAAACTTTCTTTTTTTTCTTAAAGACCGTCTTTTTTTCTTTTCAGAATACTGTGAATGATTTAACAGTCCATCGGGCAACTGCTGAAGATTTGGTAAGTTTGTCGTTATCAGACCTCTCAAGTTTAATGTTAATGTATTTTTTGATATTTGGTTTCTAGCCTTCAGACTAGAATTCCTTAGAAGTTCCTGGAGTTAGTTGAGTGACAGTTAAACCTATTTATGCTTATTTGAGGGTGCCTTCACAAAGTTTGTGGGAAAATGGAACTAAAAAGTGTAACGGTTGAAGATGCACTAGGCCGGTTGTGGTCCTTCTTGGTCTCCAACTTCTGGTTCTCTCTCTGATCCTGTGAGGGCTTAGCCACCATGTTCGAACCCCCCCTCCCCCACCCGTCCAGGGTTCCATCCTGAAGAATGTGCTCATCAACGAGGCCTGCTGGGATCGCAGCTCGAGTGGCATGAACCTGCAGAGCATGGATTTGTCCCACGTCTCCCTGGTGCAGCTCACTCGGTGCCTGTGACCGCAACCTAGCCAGGGGCGTGCTCCTCACCAGCACATCCAACATACTAAAATGTGCCGGCAGTGAAGACATCCTCACACTGGGCGAAAGATAACGGAGACACATTGACGCTGGTGTTTGAAGCACCAAACCAAGAACAAGGTTCAGACTATGGAATGAAGTTGTTGGATTTAGCTGTTGAACAACTTGGAATTCCAGAATATCTGTGTAGTGAAGATGCCTTCTGGTGAATTTGCACGTATCTGCTGAGATCTTGGCCATGTTGGAGATGCTGTTGTTGTGTCCTTGTGAAAGATGGAGTGAAATTTGGGGGAAATAAGTGGAAAACTTGGAAATGGAAATACTAAGTTGTCGCAAACAACGTTGATAAAGAAGAGGAGGCGGTTCCCGTAGAGATGAATGAGCCAGTTCAACAAACTTTTGCACTTTGATACCTGCACTTCTATATAAAAGCAACTCCATTCTCTCCTCCAGTGACAGTAGTTCTGCAGATGTAGACCTAGGTGTAGAATGTAAAACTGTGGCTGTGGGAGACTTAAAGTACTATTTGGCCTCCAAGATTGAGGATGAAGGATTTTAGACTCAAAATCCAAAAGCCAAGAAAATAAAGCAAAGCTCCTTGAGAACTGCTTCTGAGATGCCAGCATGGACTTAAGGCTTTCTGTTACCAAATCCGCACCACTGAGTACGTATGCAGAGTACATGTTTTCTGTAAATACTCTTATTCACCACGCTTACAAAGTTTGTTTTTTAAAAATAGTCCAAAGTCACCCCGTCTGAAGAGCCATAAGGAAGAGGCGAGCCAGTCAGGGTGTGGAATAGCACCGACGAAACACACAACCTTCCTACTGTTCTTTAATGCTTTGTCCCCACTCCCCACCCCCACTATCATGACCCCAATTCTGTCTTACAAATCTGGCTAGACCAGAACGTGTACTGGTACAGATAAGAGCTCGCAACACAGGGAATCTGGAACAGATAAACCCCTGAGGACCAATAAGGGGAACAGCGATACTAGGAAGGGAAGGGGGCTGGCGAGTAAGGGGGAACCAATCACGGGGAGTAAGGGGGAACCAATCACAATAATCGACGTATGGGCCACCTCCCAGCAGGAAAGTGGGTAAAGGGAGACAGCGGTCGGTGTAAGACATGGGGGAAAAAATTATAAATTATCAAGAGGACGTGGGGGGTGGCAGGAAAAAATGAGCTGATACTGAGGCTCAAGTAGAAAGAAAATGTTCTGAAAAAGATGACGACAACATATATACAGATGTGTTTGACACAATGGATTGTGATAAGAGCTGCAAGAGCCCCCAATAAAATAAAAATTTAAAAAAAGGTAGTCCAATGTCAAATTATTAACCTAGGAATACTACTTTCTGTCCTACCTAGAAGTACTCTTAATACTTTTTATTATAAAGGGTCTTAGCTAAATACTGTTTCAAGACTGTCTTTTCAATTCAAATAAAGTTATCTGAATTTCAAACAAGAAAAAATGAATTAAAAGATAATCCTGTGCACTTTTTGAAGCCTCTCCTCCCCACCCCCACCCCCAGTATAGTCACTGCTTGTCTATCAGTTGACCCTGTTGTGCCTGCTTATGTGTAAGCTATGCACCAGCACTGCAAGTGCCAGCAGGATCCCTTGCGGTGAAAGGTTTCAGCAGAGCTTCCAGACTAAGACAGCCTGGAAGGAAAGGCTGTGTGATCTGGAGACTGGATCTCAACATAATAGCTTTTCTATGTCTTGCTGGAAGATAGCCCCCTCAGGTTGGAAGACCCGACACAATAGCCCCAGTAAAGGACTAAAACTTATCAAAGGTCATGGCTTACTCAGAGTCTTAATCATAGTAAATACTCACAGTCTTTTTTGAGGATAATAATGATACCTAATTAAACTTTTTTTTTTCATTTGGAATATGTTCAAACTTACATGAAAAGAGAGAAAGCAGTAAAAATAACTCACAAACTGTTCCTCTAGTTGCAGGAGTTATCCAAAGATTTTGCTACAGTTGCCTCGTTATCACAACCTTTTTAAACTCTGATGCAGAAGCTTTAAGAAAATCAGACAATATGTCGTTCTTTCAATTTGCATTTTAGAAACATACTTTCTCTTTCTACCCATAGGTCATTGTCACACCTAACAAAAGCAACGTCTATCTAATACGCTGTACACATTCAAGTTTCCTTGATTGCATAAAAACTCAACGTTTTCATTGGTTATTTAGAATAAAGATCCAAAAAATTCTTAGATAACTTTTTTCCCCAATGATTTTATTGGCATATACTTCACATATACAGTTTAGTGATTCAGTCATATTAAGCAGATTATACATTCATCACCACAATCACTTGTTAGCTCCCCTCTTGTCTCCATCCTCTCCTGCTGTGCCTCGGGTAATCTGCTTACTGTCTATAGATTTCCATATCCTGTACTCCATATACAGAAAATCATACAAAACACAAACAGAAAGCAAATAAACAGATAACCCCCTCCAAAAAAAGCCAACAACAGTGACAAGATAAAACAGAAAAACCACAATTGAAAAGAAAGCAGAAAATATTAAAAATTAAACTTTAAAATGGGGCAAAGGGGAGCTCAAATGATAAGGCATATTACATTTTAACCTAACTACATCTGCTATAATCAACTGTACAATGCTCTCTGTCTGATAGCAAGGCTACCTCGAAATTGACTTTTTATTACATGGCAAAAGCTCATTGGTATATTTTATTGGACAGCATATGGATCTTGTTAATACTCATAGTTTCCAATACTAGAGCATGTAGCAGGCTAAACGTGTGCTTTATCCCGTAGCTACTTCAGTGAGCTCCTGTCCATCTTAATGCGTGTGGCCCTCTGCTGTACTTCAGGGCCACTGCTTCTTGGGATGTGTGTACCTCTAAACCCCTACTTCCACCATTTGTACGGCTAGAGGAATGCTACAGTGTTATTATTTCTTTAATCATTTTATTGAGGGCTCGTACAACTCTTATCACAATCCATACCTTCATCCATTGTGTCAAGTACATTTGTGCATTTGTTGCCATCATCACTCAAAACATTTTCTATCTACTTGAGCCTTTGTTATCAACTCCTCATTTTTCCCCTTCCCTCCTCGCTCCCCCCTCCTTCATGAACCCCTGATAATTTATAAATTATTATTTTGTCACATCTTACACTGTCCGACGTCTCCCATCACCCACTTTTCTGTTGTCCACCCCCCAGGGAGGAGGGTATATGTAGATCGTTGTAATATGTTCCCCCTTTCTACCCCACCTTCCCTCCACCCTCCCTCCAGGTATTACCACTCTCACCACTGATCCTGAAGGGATCATCTGTCCTGGATTCCCTGTTTCCAGTTCCTATCTGTACCAGTGTACATCCTCTGGTCTAGCCACATTACTACAATGTTATTCTTGATGATTATGTGAGTTTCATGAAATGATTGTGACTTGTGCCTGTGATTACTCTGTTTTGCCCATTTCATACTGTGAACCTGTGTGTGTATAATTGTACATGTAGCCAAAATGTGTAACACTTTTTAAAAATCATTTTGTTAGGGGCTTGTACAGCTCTTATCACAGTCCATCCACCCATCCATTGTGTCAAGCACATTGTACATATGTTGCCATCATCATTTTCTTTCTATTTGAGCCTTTGGTATCAGCTCATTTCTCCCTCCTCCCCCTCCCTCCCTCATACCAAAAGGATTCTTAACTTTATTATGTGCAAACCAAAACAACCTAGAGCAAAACATGACAAATCAACTACCATTGAGTCAGTTCTGACTCACAGTGACTCTCTATGGCTGTACCTCAAGAATAAAAATCTTTACAGGAGCACGTAGCCTCATTTTTCTCCTGTGAAGCATCTAGTGAGTTTGAACCGCCAACCTTAGAGCTTGCACCCCTAGATTTAACCCACAGTACTGCCATAGCTCCTATTATGTGCAGCATCCTCTCAATATTTTAACTTTGTATTCACTTCTGTGTAAAACATGCTGGCGTTGGCCTGCTAACTGATGTAAAGGCAACGTCCCCAGTTGCTGTTGAGGCCACTCTAACTCATCCTGCCCATGTCAGAGTAGAACTGTTCTCTGTAGCCTTGTCAGTGGCTAGGGTTTGGAAGAAGAGTGCTAGCCTTTTCTTCCAAGGAGCTGCTCAGGGTAGACTTGAGCCTTCAGCTTGTCAGGAAAGTTAACAGCTGGGCTTGTTAGCGCTGTACACCTATCCAGACCTTCCCAAATTGTTTATTTTACCACCCATTGTTGGGTAAGTGGACTGCTCGCTGCAAAGGCTGGAGTTTAACCCTCCAGCTACTTGGGAGAAAATAGACAAGGCTTTTTTTCCTACTCCCATAAGGTTTTATAGTCTTGGAAACCCTGTGACAGTGGGTTTTGTCTTGGGGTTTGGTAAAAAAAGTCCCAACCTGTAGCTTGAATACACTGATTTATGGGATAGTTCTGAACAAAGAAAGTAGAAATCGAAAATGTTTAAATTTGTCTTTTTGCTGGACATACTAATTCTGAATACTCCTTTTAAAATCATATTTGATAATTTACAGGACTATTAACATTTTGAGTGTGCATATGTATAAGTAAATATGGATTGGGTTAGAAAGAGTTAACAAAATAGATGGTGAACTGTCACGATCAGAATTGGCAATCTCTTGAAATATGATGGTTTCTTTTTTCTCCTACCCAGTTACGTCGTCATGAAATACACAAATCAAAAAACAGAGCGTTAGTGCACTGGGAACTCCAAGAAAAAGCTTTGAAGAGAAAATGGAGGCGGCAGAAGCCGGACATTTCCAATCTTGAGAAACGGAGATTGGCTATCATGAAGGAGGTAATTCTAAGCTTTATTACCTTTAAAGTTAGAAAGAAAATAAAGAAATAAATCGACTCTCTTTCCCCCTCAGATCAGGTTAACTTGGAGAGACTCCAGTAACTACTGTCAATTAAAAGCAAAAATAAAAACAAACCAGTAGAGTGAGAATCTACCACTGGTTTGACGGCCTTCCCAAGTTACCAGCTCTGTGGCCTCATATAAGTTAACATCTCAGACTCCTCTTTTATCTTTAAGTTGCCTAGTCATGTTCCTCTGACTTGGCACGAAGTATGAGTTAACATAATTGTTTTCCATAGTCATCGTATCTCAAGCTGAAAGAACTGAAAAAAATCTTCAAGCCTTGATTTGAAATATTGAAGGATTCTAAGGGCAAAATATGTCTTTTCAAAAGAATTCATAAAATCACTGCCCCCCCAAAACTGCTTGCTATTCAGTCATTTCAAACGGGAGCATATGATCAAGAACCAGTAATAACTGAAGGAAGAATCCAAGCTACATTGAAGGCATGAGTGAAAAACACGTCTCCAGAAATTGATGGAATACCACTAGAATGTTTCAGCAAGCCGAGGAAGCACTGGAAGCCTCACTCCTCTATGCCAAGAAATTTGGAAGATTTGGCCAATGATCCCTAATTGTACCCATTCCAAAGAAAAGGTGACTTAACAGAATGAGGGAATTCTTGAACACTCATTAATACGGCATGCCAGTAAAATTTTGATGAAGATAATTCAACATTGGTTGCAGCAATATATTGGCAAGTTGCTACCAGAAATTCAAGCTGGATTCAAAAGATGATGTGGAACAAGGGATATCATAGCTGATGTGTTAGTCTGGGTACTTTAGAGAAACAAATCCACAGAAACTCATGTATAAGAGAGCTTTATAGAAAGGTTAAGTGCACATCAAGAAAACATCCCAACCCAGTGCTGCCCAAGCCCACAAGTCCAACATTAACCCATATGCCCGACACCAATCCACAAAGTCCTCCTCCATCTCACAAAATATACACAATGATGCCGACTGCAGGAGGAAAGCCGTATCAGTGAATGTGTAAGCATCTCAGCGCTGGCAGGGGTCTCCACAGGGTTGCATCGGGGTAGGTCCATGTGGCTTCTCTTCAGGGATGTCTTGCAGGAAGTGAGCGTTGCCAGCTGATGCAGGAAACTGGCTAAGGCAGCTGCACCCTGGTCCGACCATCACAAAGCAAGAGACCCGAGAACTAGAAAGGTGAGGCTCACTGAGCCTTTTATCTCTCCACCCTTCAATTAACCCCACATAAGTTTATCGGCCAGGTTGGCACAATAAGCTAACTACCTCAGCTGATATCAGAATAATCAACTAAAAGGGAATACCAGAAAAGTGATTATTTGTGTTTTATGACTATGCAAAAGAATTTGACTGTGTGGATCATAACAAACTATGGAATTTGACTGTGTGGATCATAACAAACTATGGATAACATAGAGAAGAATGGGAATTCTAGAACACGTCATTGTCTTCATGGGGAACCTGTACATGGAGCAATAGGTAATTGTTTAAACAGAACAAGGGAATACTGTCTGGTTTAAAATCAGGAAAGGCATGCATCAGGGTTTTATCTTTTCATCATACTTAGCCAGTCTGTGTCCTGAGTAAGTAATCTGAGTAGCTGAAGAACTCAGCATCTAAATTGGAGGAAGACTGATTAACACTCTGGGAAATGCAGATGGCATATCTTTGCTTGCTGAAAGCAAGGAGAACATAAAGCACGTGCTGATAAAGAACAAGGGCTGTAGCCTTCAGTGCGATTTATAACTCTAAAGAAAACCAGAATCCTCACAACTGGACAACAGACAGCATCACAATAAATGGAGAAAAGATGGAAGTTGCCAACAATTCCATCTTGCTTGGATCACAGTCATTGCTCATAAAAGCACCAGTCAACTCAATATATTGCATTGGGAAAGTCTACTGCTCAAGAAGACCTCTTTGAACTGTTGAAGGGTAAGGATGTCATGTTGAAGACTAAGGTGTGCCCGACATAACCTATGGTATTTTCAGTGACCTCAAATGCATGTGAAAGTTGAACAATGAATAAGGAAGATCTAAGAAGAATGGATGCATTTGAATTATGATATTGACTAAGAATATTGAAGATATTGTTAGCTGCCAGAAGAACAAACAGCTCTGTCTTGGAAGAAGTACAGCTAGAATGCTCCTTAGAATTGAGCATAGTGAGATTTCTCCTCTTGTGCTTGGACATTGTGTCAGGAGAGCCTGTCCTGGGAGAAGGACCCCATGCTTGGTAAAGTGGTGGGGTAGTGAAAAAGAGGAAGACCCTCAGGGAGGTGGATTGACACAGTGGCGGCAACAATGAGCTCAAATGTAAGGATTGTGAAATAGACGGGGCATTGTTTGATACATAGAGTTGCTTTGAGTAAAGTTGATTCAGACTCATCAGCATCTAGTGAAAACAACATTTTGGGAGATAATCTGCTTTTTAAAAGATACTAGACTCTTAAAATTGCCATTAAAGAGTAAAACCAATCCTATAGGACAGAGTCGAACTGTCCCTCTTGGTGTCTGGGGCTGTAAATATTGTGGGGGGCCCGAAAGCCTCATTTTTCTATAGTGTAGCTGGTAGGTTCAAACTGCTGACCTTGTGGTTAGCAGTGCAGTGTATAATCTGTGACATTAAGACTCTACCCATTAGTAAATAGAATTAGGTAGTTATGCTAGTATAATGGTATATTACCTGGGTCAATCAGTGTTTATTATCAACCTGTGATTGCATTTATTTAGAAGATGGTTAACCAGTGGTAGAAATTTGGTTCATGGCATCATATAGGTTATAAGTAAATTAAAAAACAATTTTTTTTATTGTGAAGTAAGTGGGGGCATACATTTAGATCATCAATTTTGTATTCAGCACCTTAAACTGCTTATAATAAGTCCCCAATAACTTTTGTCCTGTCTCGTGATTTCTCTTCTTCATCTTGTGGAATACTGTCAGGGGAGCCAGCCTCTAACAAATAATCACGGGTCCAGCAGGCGCAATTGTACAGCTATCAAATATAAAGATTATAGTAAGGTCATAGAGAATAAGAGAAATAGAGAGTGGTGTATGAGGGGTATGATCTCTCTGTACCCTCTCCAGCATTTTCGGAACTTTGTTGCGAATGCTGGTATAGGGTGATCAGTCTTTGTTTTGATTTGCATCTCCTAGTGATAGGGAACATTTCTTCATTTGTTTGCTTGCTGCCTGGATGTCTTCTTTGTTGAACTGTTTGTTCATGTCTTTTGTGTAAATATGAACTGAGGCACAGGACAAGTGAGAGGTAAACTGAGGCACAGGGAGACGGACAGAGATGGTTGACAGGACAATGGGAGAGCAAAAACAGAAATGGCTTTATTAGTGGGGAGCTCCCAGGCGAAGCCCCATGGTCTAGCAAGTAGCCCAGGGGAATCGCAGGGCCCTGTTTGGGATCTGGGGTTTTTAAAGGAAAGTGGGGAGAGAGAGGTCTGTGCTGCAGCAGCCACGTTTATGGTCCATGATGTCAGCAGTGAGGTTTATGACCTAGGAGGTCAGCAGTAAAGTTTATGGCCCAGGGTGTAGTTTATCAGCTCTGGCAGGCAGGGTGTCTGGTTATCGGGGAGTCAGGCATCCCTGGTGCCGTTTCTTGGTCTCCTCATTCCAGGGGGCGACTGCTGACCTTTGGAGGTGATGTGCAGGGAAGCAAGTGGGGCCCCGGCCTGCTTAAGCTTAGCCCAGTCACGTTGCCCATTTTAAAAATTGGATTATTCATCTTTTTCTTGTTGAGGTATTAGAGGTTTCCTATAGATTTTAGAAGTTACTCTCTTGTCTGATGTGTCATTGCAAAAAATTTTCCCCGAGTTTATGGGTTCTCTGTTTTACTCTTTTGATGAAGTCTTGTTGAACATAAATATCTTATTTTTTTTAAAGATCCCAGGCATATATTTTGTTTTCTGCTGTGGGTGTGTTTTGCTATGGGTGGTAGTGTATATATTCCTTGTATTAGGACCCATAAGTTTGGCCATTTTCTCATCGATGATCTTCATAACTCTAGGATTTACATTTAGGTTTTTAATTAATCTTGAGTTCCTTTTTTTTTAGTATATGAGGTGAGGTATGGGTCCTGTTTTATTCTTCTGCAGATAGAGGTTAAATTTTTTTGGTTCTTTGTTGAAGATCAGTTGACTGTAGGCAGATGGATTTATTTCTGAGTTCTCTAATCTTTTCCGTTGGCCTACCTGTTATCATTGCACCAGTACAGGATTATTTTGACTGCTGTGGCTGTGTAATAGGCTTTGAAGTTGGGAAGTGAAAAGCTTCCAACTATGTTTTGTAGGAGTGCTTTGCTTATCTTGGCTCTCCATATAAAGCTGGTGATTAGTTTTTCCGTTTCTTTAAAGCAGTGGTTCTCAATCTGTGAGTCGTGACCCCTTTGGGTTGCCCGATTTATAGCAGTAGCAAGGTTACAGTTATGAAGTAGCAACGAAAATAATGTTATGGTTGAGGGGTCACCATGACATGAGGAACTGTGTTAAAAGGGTCGTGGCATTAGGAAGGTTGAGAACCACTGCTTTAAAGAATAATGTTGGGATCTAGGTTGGAATTGTGTTTTATTTATAGATTGCTTTGGGTAGTATTGACATTTTTACAATATCAGCCAGTGTATCCATGAGCATAGAACATTCTTCCATTTGTGTATGCCTCTTTGGGTTCTTATAGGAGTTTTTTATATAGGTCTTTTGTATAGGTCTCGTTAGGCATATTCTTAAGTATATTATCTTTTAAGTAGCTGTTGTAAATAGCATTGCTTTCTTAATTTTCTTTTCAAAGCTCTCTTCATTAGTACATTAGAATCCAGTTGATTTTTGTATTTTTGATTCTTGTGTGTACCCTGCCACATGGCCAGATTTACAATTACTTCCAGCATTTTTTTTTTTGTTTGAGTCTTTGGAGTGTTTTACATTTTGTGTTAGGCTGAGTCGACTGAAGAAACAAATCCAGGGTGTAATAAAGAGCTTTATATATTACAAGGTCATTATATCTCATGAAAACATCCCAGCCCAGTCCAGATCAAGTCCATAAGTCTGATACTAGTTCAGAAGTCCCTCTTCAGACTCACATAGCCACATGCAAATGATGCAAAATGCAGGAAAATCACAGGCTGGCCGGTGAAAAGTCTTGTGGATCCAGTGGCAGTGGATGCATCTACAGGGGTCTGGCAGGTCTCCAAGTGCCATGCCATCAGGAAGGTGAATCAGAGAGGGAGGTTCCCAGGACCCTCCTTATGAGAAGGTCACACCCATAAGAAGACACCATCAGGCTGTGACCTGATGACAGGCTAGACTCCACCCCTACACTTTTATATCCTCACGTTGACACGAAATTATGTCATTACCACACATATAGAATCATATCATCTGCAAATAGTTTTGCTTCTTTACCAATTTGGATGCCTTTGATTTCTTTTTGTTGTCTGATAGCTCCAGCTTAGACTTCTAGCACAGTGTTGGATGAGTGGTCCTAAAAAGTCCACTCTTGTCTGGTTTCCAGTTCTCCCTACCAAGTGAGATGATGGTCATTGTTTTTGCATATGTAGCCTTTTTTTGTTGTGAAATAGCCTTCCGATTCCTATTTTGCTGAGTGTTTTAATCAGAAATGGGTATTGGCATGAATCTGACCTGAACAGTGAAAACTTTGTCAGTAATGATGCAGGCTGGACCTGATCCAGTTTCCAGATTTTTCTGTGTTTTGGGTTTGTATTGTTTTATTTGTTTTTTGTTCGTTCATAGCAGAGTGTATCTCAGAGGTGTTATGTCATTTGAGGCCAGCCTCTGGAAGCTGCTTTTCTGCTTTTCGGTATATAAAACCCAGGATCGATGAACCTAGAGGGAGGGACAGCAAGTAGAATAAGGGTGGTGGGGGGTAGTGGTGGTGGGTGGGTGTGTATGTGTGTGTGTGTGTGTGTGTGTGTGTGTGTAGGGAGATGATGTGAAGAAGTCCATGTAGTAAAGAATGGTTGGAAAACTGATTGTGGTAGCAATTGTACAATTCTACTTGACTGATTGAAGTATGGAATGATATGTTATATATATTGGATCCCAACTTTCAAAAAAAGAAATAGGTATTGGATTTTATCAGATGTTACAAGTACATTCTTACACATCTCTGTATCGCTATGTGGTTTTTCAGTGCGTCCCTATCTTTCTAATACCTTTGTGGGGTTGGGAGGTGAGCATATCTCCATTAACACATCAGGAAACTGAGCTTAAAGAAACAATTTTGCTTTGTAAAACCCATTGACTGGGCTTCTAGTTCCAATCGTCTGCCTCCAAATGTACTCTTTGCTTAAACGCCATTCCCCAGTCTACTCTCTGTGGAAGGAACATCTTCTGCACCTCATTCTCATTAACTGAGCCAACCTGATTGGCTCTAGGGAAAAGGAGAGAAAGTAAGAATGTGATTCTAGTTCTTTTCCTCAGTGTGTTAAAACAGTAACTGAATGCTGTCTATTTATAGTTACCAGATGTTCATTGATTTGAGGTAGTTAGGAACTGGGGGGTTTCTGAAGGTTGAGACCCATTTCAGCTTAATATCGCCATCTACTGGCAGTGAACAGAGTTCACTAGCTTTACTTGGGCTGTTGGCCTTGAATGTAGCTATGAAATTTCCTGAACAAAAAGTACTTGAACACTATATAGTATCGTACTTGTGTGGTTTTGGGAGTTCTCACCCCTCCAGGATAAAAAAATGACTGATTTAAAATATAGGAGCAACACATTTTTTTGTTTATGCCCCCCCCCCCAAATTATATCTTAATTTTTTAAAACTGTGTATCATAACACTATATTTTATTATGAAATCACATTAGTGGCTATAATGCCTCTGAGTTTTTGGTTCAGAAATTCACACCTTTGAGTTTAGAGTGCTGAGGTTCCTATCTTTAATCAGTGTTTTTCAAATGGGATCATAACTCATTACTGAATTGTGAAATCAAGCTAATTTGTTGTAAAGTCACTTAAAAATTGAATGTAATGTTTCTGTGAGATGTGTGCATGTGTGTGTGTAAAACAACCTACTACCATCCAGTTGATTCTGATTCATATGAGTAGAACCACTTGCTAGGGTTTCTGATGCTTTAAATAATTACAGAAACAGATAGCCTCATCCTTCTCTCATGGAGTGGCTGGTGACCTTGAACTGTTGACTTTGTAGGTAGCAGCCCAACACATACACCTCTATGTGATACACATAACCCGCTCCTCTGTGTGTGTGTGTGTGTGTGTGTGTGTGTGTGCATGTGTGTGTGTACTGGTCACAATTTAATATTTATTTCTTAGTGTGATTTGCAGGCACTTATTGAAAGCCACTAATGGAACTAATACTCACAGGTGCCCTGGTGGCACAATGGCTAAGTGCTTTACTGCCAATGGACAGGTTGACGGTTCAAACCTGCCTACTGCTCCGTAGGAGAAAGCTGTGACAACCTGCTTTCAGAAAGAGTACAGCCTTGGAAACCATGCCGGGCAGTTTTCTGTCCTAAGGACATTCTGAACCAGAGCTGACTGGAAGGCATTGGCTTTTTGGGTTTTGTTTTGGACTGCTACCTAGTGCTATTGCCACTGAAGGATTTTAAAGGAAGGTAGGTGCCTATGATTGCTTTTATGCTCTGTGCCTTTGTACGGATTTCTCCTTTGTGATTTAAAATATATATATTGTTTTTCCCTAAGTGATAATTACCATTAACACATGTCTAGATTCTTTCTGATCAATACCAGATGCATGATGTATTGGAAAGATCTGATCATTTGATGGCTGCAGCTAAAGATCTCTTTGTTGATTTTCCTCGCAGGCGCACAGGTAAACCACCCACTTCAAACAAAAGCTGGTTTTTCTAATTAGCTGTAACCTGCATCTGTTTAGAATTTAAAATCCTTTCTCGGCATCAAGTTATTTATGTCATAGTATTCTAGGATAATTATATATATATATATATATATATATATATATATATATATCTTAAATTTGTTTGCTTTTAATTAAGAATACTATTTCCAGTTGTTCATATAAGGAAAGGTAAATTGTTATTAGCTATTGAAATATGGTATGGTATGATGTAGTGTATTTCCTAATTAAGATATTTGTATTTATGTGAAGCTTAATTTAAACCCAAAAGCAACATCAGTCTTTCTCTCCAAGGAACTTTTCCTCTTGTCAGATATGCAGAATTATTTACTGTAGCATGTACATATTACATTGTGCATCCCAGGTCCTCCAACAGATCATTCGTTTTTAGAGTCTGAATCCTCTCTTTCTTAATGCCTCTGAGCTTGTTTAGTGATCTCTAAAATGAAGATGATAGGAGTGCCACACGCCAGGTCTTGTGAGCATAACATGTACTCACATGTGTGAAAGCGTTGTCAAGCACATAGGAAGGCCACATCAGTGTGAGTTACATTAGGAAGGTTTCCGTGTGGTGGTGCAGACAAATGGCAGTGCATATAGCATTGTGAAGTAAATTTTATTAGCAGACAAAATCATAATGGCTCATTTCCTCCCACAGGGTTTCCAAATGTAACAATGGCTCCTGATTCTTCTCAAAACCCCATCGCAGTAAATCGAGACCCTGTTACCGAGGCTCTTCTGAGTGAATCTGTCATTGACCCTCAGGTAATGTGCTCTGCTCACAGCATAATACTCAAGGCAATCATCTGAGTTTTGTTGTAATCGGCATGATGGTAGAGCATTTGAAAGTGTAACTGTCAAGAAAGGCAAGTGCTTGCTAAAACTGTCCTTACTCAAAATTACATTTTTTGTGAGCACTATTTGGATTAAGATAGTAGAGAACAGAATCACTTAACATCCGTGGCTTGCTTCCCTAGGATGTAGGTACTCTTACTTGTTTATTTCGTAGATGAAGAAACTGAGCCTGAGAAAAGTTAAGTGGTTTGCCCAAGATCTAGCTAGTTAGCATCAGAGCTGAGATTGAAGCTAGGCTTTGGGCCCCAGAGCCTTCCTCACTGACCTCATGGAGATGACAGGGAGTTTTCACACTTTGGAAGCAGGTGCATCTGTGTTGCTAGACTGCTAACTACTGACCACTTGATCTTAAGCTATCAGAGTCAGCCCGAGTGTTTTTGCTGTTGTCCGTGGGAATGGAATATCCCTGATGATGGGAGCTGAAAGAATCAGCTCGAACCTTGCTTTGCCACAGTACATAATGTAATGACTAGCCACAAATCTGCTTTTTCTTGAAGTGCTTTTTCTTTTTTATTCTGTTAATGTATTTAAAAAGTAGTTGCCCAAGGGAACTTGGAGTTTAATGACGATTTGCATGGGGAAGTTATAGTCGTAAAGCATTAATGAGCTGTATCCTAACCACATTATTGAGTTTTGCTGAGTCAGTTCTGACTCATAGCGACCCCATAGGATGAGTAGAATTGCCAAATAGGACTTTTAAAGGCAGCAGATTACTGAGTCTTTCTCCTGCAGAACTTTTCACGTGCGTTTAAACTGCTCATCTTTTAGTTGCTGAGCGCTTAACTGCTGTGTCACCAGGGCTTCTTGGAACTCTTAAGTAGTCAAAATATTTAGCGTCTTTGGATGCTTAACTATTAGGAGTGAAAAACGGGAATAAAGTAACCGTTAAGGGATGACTAGAGCTCGTCTGGCTGTGGTTCAGACTCAGAGTGACAGAAACATATAGGACAGAGTAGAACTGCTTTGGAAGGTTTGCTCGGCTGAAACCCTTCCAGAGTCCTCTTTCTTCCATGGAGCTGCTGGTGTAGTCAAATCACCAGCCCTCTGGGTAGGAGTGGAGTGCCTAGCAACGCGTCACTGATGATTTAGCTCTTGTAACCCGACAAGATCATCACTCTAATGGATGCTTCTCCTTTCTTAGGACCGCTAAGTAGAGTTGCCTAAATTTGTTGACTCTGTGAAAGAAAGGAGAAGCATCCATCACAGTGATGATCTAGTTGAATTACAAGATCTAGAATTCTCAAAGACATCTTAAGTATACTGCATTTTACTCCCCACCGAACCGAACCCACGGCCCTTGAGTGAATTCCACCCCAGGGACTCCGTAGAACAGGGTAGAATTGCCCCAGTAGCATTTCCACGGCGTGAAGAAGCAGATTGTGTCCTCTTTCTCCTGCAGAGTGGCCGGTGGGTTCAAACGGCCGGCCTTTCAGTTCATAGCTGAGTGCTTTAACCACCAGGATGCCTTCATTTGACTCACAGAGGCAATGAAATAAAACGTCACACGTATTTTGGATAAGCAAAACCCATTAACCACATCCATAGCCAAAACCACTTGTGTGTTTGAAGGTTTTAAAAAGTTACCTTTGAGATAATCAGAAGCATTGGTGAAATTGCAAGTTCTGTATAGGGCTGCTAACCACAAGGGCGGCAGTGGGAACCGCTAGCCTCCCTGTGGGAGAAAGATGAACAGTCTTCTCTCGTGCAGATTCACTGTCTCAGGAACCTGTAGGGAAGGCTTTGCTCTGTCATACAGGGTCATTGAGAGTCAGGATCAACTTGATGGCAGCGAGTTTATTTTTTTAAAGAATAGATTGTCCACATTCATAGCTAAAACAACTTATATTTTGGAATTTTTAAAAAGTTAGCTTTCAAATAATCAGAGGTTCGGAAAGATAAAGACTGAAAAGTACCCATTTGATACAGGAACAAATGTGTTAATATTGACCTTATGGGAATGGTCAGTAACTTTGAGTAGAGTGTTAGAACAGAACCCAAGCTGCAGGGCACAAGCTAGTGAAGGAGATGTGGGACCAGTCTTTCAGGAAGAGAACAGAGAGATGCTGACTTGAGGGCATATGAGATCAGGGGAAGAGGGGAAAGGCATGCCTGCATTTAAATATTGATGAGACGAAGCCAGTTGAGTGGGTGAGTTGAAGATGCAGGAGAGAGAAAAGATGATTGATGGGGTGGAAGGAGGTAAGGGAGTTTGGGTTTCAGGACGAGTGTAGTGAGATTAGCCTGCAGAGGAGGCCCTCTCCTAGTAGGACTGAAAGAAACCATGGGTGCAAGTAGAACCAACCTGCATTCTTTTTATTGTTGTTGACAAAGGCCCTGAATGAAATCGATGATGAAGGAAGAGAAAGAACTGTTAATAGCCAGTCAGAAGACAGCGAGCATGAGCTGGAAAGCACTCTAAACGCTGAGTCTGACACGAATACAGATAGGTATGTATGTATGGGATGCGTAGCTGCACAGGTTTCCCTTTTTTCCAAAGTCACTGGAATAAGTATTTGTTTATTGCATTATCGTGATTTTTTTTTCAAATTAAAAAAAATCATTTTATTGGGGGCTCATACAACTTTTATCACAATCCATACATATATCAATTGTGTAAAGCACATTTGTACATTCATTGCCCTCATCATTCTCAAAACATTTGCACTCTACTTAAGCCCCTGGCATCAGGTCCTCATTTTTCTC